AGTCTCTTTAGTTTGATATTCCTCGTAAATGATTCTTTATTTTGTGCTTTTAGCCTTGCGATATTTATTATTGAATCAAGCTTGATATCAAATTTCATTCTGGTAGTATTATAGACCAATATAGGGACTAACTAACCCCCCATGCCCCTACTCTTTGCATATATTGCAAAACACAGATCACTGCCTGGGACGTTTCACCCTGCCTGCAGGGTTTCATTTTATTTAATACCGATCGCAAAAATTAAAAGATTTTCTTAAAAACAAAACTTTATGCAGAAACACGTTTGTTATTATTAGAAAAATGAGAAAAAGAAAAGAGAATCTCCAAAACATCAAAAAGAAAAAAATGTCCTGTCTAAAGCCGGACTCGAACAGCGGTGCTCCCTATAAAACTACTAAAACACGCCAAATTTCCTGAAAGTGTCACCGTGGCACAATCGGTTAAGGCGCTTGGCATACAGTTTAGAGGTCGCGGGTTCGAAACCTGGTGGGAACATGAAATTTATTTCGCAGCCAAAAATATTATAGAAGTTACTATAGTAACCAAATTAAGTGAATATATAAATATTATAAGTAATAATTAATCGAAAAGCACAGGGAGACCAACTAGAGGAAGTAAGTAGAATAACATTAATATAATTAATATGATTAAATAAATAACCGCTGACAAAAACGTCGCAGGCTCAAGTTTACAGCAAAGTGATCGAGCGAGCGAGCGATCGAGCGAGTGACAGCTGTTCCATCCCAACAACTCTACGATTGCTGACGCAATCTCCGAGTTAAAAAAACTATTCTTTTATAAATGTGGTATCTGTGACCTCATCGGAGTGCATCGGTCTAGGCATCAGAAGTACGAGTAGTATGCTTACGCTGGACAGTCTTGTTTGGGCAAATAGTTTATTAGAGTGGTTTTCATTAACCCGTGAAACACACTTTAGCGTATTTATCGCTATTTCACTTTGGCTCTTTTGATTTTTATTGTCTCTACGCGACTATTACGATCTATTACACTTTAATTGTTACACTTTGTTTCACGGGTTTATGAAAACCACTCTAGAACAAGAAGAAACTTTGTTTATCAATAACAACAAGGCGACTTTGATTATTTTAGAGGCATATTTTTTTTAAATAAAAGATTTAAATTAATTTTTTTTGGGCCTAAGAGATCAACAATTTCAATTAAAAACGTATTAGATATCTCACTTAGCGACATTTCAAGTCTGACGTTTGATTTTATCAATTCAGTTGCAAGTTGTTCGCAGGGGGAGTAGTGAATCGCCGAGTTGGAATCTGAGTCGAGTTAGAGTTGGACTAAATAATATATTCATTTATTCTTTTGATTTTTATCAATCATCAATTAAAGACGTTTTTTGCACAAATGTTTGCTCAAACAAATAAATGCATTCAAAAAAATCATCAAAACACCAACACACCAAAAGCGAAATAGAGAATAAGATATTATGAATACATGTACATTGTAGCGGCTAATTCAAGATTATGTAAATTTTCAAGTATCATGTGACATTATGTAAATCATGTAAATTTGTCTAGGCGGCAAAGATGTTACCAGAGAACACATTTGTAAGAGTTATGTTAGTTTTCAATGGAAAATTAAACTCACTGTCTTTGCATCGTCAACACAAGCAACCTAGTGCCAACAGTAACATCTTGTCTAGTGATTTCGATAAGAAATTACTCAAGTTTTCTGGTTAAACTTGCAAATTTGGAGGTGTTTTCGACGTTTGTGACGAGTCGCCGTGATTGCGAAATTCAAGAGAAGCGATGTTCGAGGCTGGTTCCGAGTCGCCTATCGAGGATTCAACCAAGATCGAAGGATCACAGGAAGATATACAAGGTAGTCATGAATTTGCCTTGCCACCGATCGCGAATTCTGATGAGAACACGTGTTTGGGAGCACGCGGTCAGAAACGGAAGATTGGAATGGACAAGATGTATTGGATGTCGGATGGACCAACGTTGACGACCTCGCCAAAGGCAACCCACCATTGGAAAAAAGACAACCCAAGTTAACAGAAAAGGGTAAAGTTTATCTTTTGACGGAATTGGATCGTCATCGAAAAGCAAAGAAAAGAGAACTACAGATTTTAATATCTGATATTCGATCAAATATGGATAATGAAGCCAATTTATATCGAGTTGAACAAGGTATGAAACATTTGAACATTCTCTTCAAACAATTTCAAGACTTACACGAGAACATTTTGGAACTTATYACTGACGAGGAACGTAATCTAGAGTCGAAGGTGTATCAAGATTTATGTCAGGAAATATTAAAAACACAGACATTGGCCAGAAATTGGATTGTTCAGGTTAATGAACGTGTCAATGATAAAAAATCTATTCGTTCAAAAGGACGATCTACAAAATCAAAGAGCTCTATATGTTCAAAGACATCAGCAAATTCATCAACCAGACTAAAGCTCATCGAAGCTAGAGCAAAACAATTCGAACTGTCATCAAGATTAGCTTCTTTCGCGAAAATTGAAATTGCAAAGGAAAGTGCCAGAAAGGCTGACAAAGAAGTTGAACGTGCYAAGCTTGTTGCAGATTATGAAGCAGCRTCAGCTGTGACCAAGGTGTATGAAGATGCATGCAGAGAGAGACAGTGATCAGGAACTAGGCTCCGATGACCCAGATAATAAAACTGAACATGCAGATCTGCCAGATTTGCGAAATACACAGTTTCAAAGTCAGGACACTATCAAAGTAAATAAAGGTGAAAATATAAACACAGAGGAACATTTATCCAAACCAGAGCCAGTCAAGGAACCGAAAACTAGTCTACCCTCTAACATATTACCAGCYTTCAATCCACCATGTCTGACACAGCTTTATGAGCATCAGACACCTACAGTAAACATGAAACATGATAGAAACACTTCAACTTCAGGTCAACACCTTGCACGTGATCAGTTCAGTTTGGCAAACATGRCTCAGTTAAAAACTAGTACACCCTGTGAGATGGTGAATGCATTACAGCTCCCAGATTGTAACAGGAGCACAAAGAGCATCAAAGGCAATCAGTCAAGCCCAAGCTAAACAGTGGAACCTTGCTTACYCCACGTCAGTTTCTTGAGGACAAGGGCTTGAATTCTCGTCTATATGTAACTTCTACACCACAAAGGGATGGAACATTTGTCGAACCACCCACAACCTTGTGGGAGAAGATGGAACYRAGGATGTCGCAGCCACCACCCAAACCAACACCCTTTGATGGTGATCCAGCTCGCTACCTCAAATTTCGATCRAACTTTAGAGATCAAGTTGAAAGTAAACCGTCTCTAACTGACAGCGAAAGAATGAACTACCTTATGGCCTACACAACAGGAAAGGCCAGAGAAGCAATAGAATATTATGAAGGATTGCCYAACGGATGTCAACTTGCTCTTCATGTCCTACAACAGAGATTTGGTCAAAACGCCATGATTGTACAGGCGTTGAAGTCGTCTATTATTCAGGGACCAAAGTTGAAGGCTTATGATAATGCTGGTTTCTTAGCATTCTCTGACAAACTTGAAAATTGCTACGGGTCCATGCTTGAACTGAAATCATCTGAATTGGACTGTACAACAAATTTCAAGCTAATTTACGATCGTCTGCCTGACAGCCTACARAGAAAGTGGCGAAATGAAGCAAAGTTGTATCGCCTTAAATCGAATGGAAAGGAACCAACTTTGAAGGAACTTTGTGCCTTTGTTGCTTCAGAGGCGCAAACTGAGAATGACCCAGTTTATGGCGCTATTGATAACAAAGCTGTTACACAAGACAAAYCATACRGCAACCGAGTTAAGAGATTCTCTCCACAGAAGTCAGGAGCTGTGAAATTACCTACCCTAGCAACTAGTGTGCAATCCGTAAATACAGAGCCAACGCAGAGTAATCCAAATGAAGATAACAACCCTAACTGTAAAGTATGCAAGAAAGAAAAACACGATGTCTCTGTATGTCCCGCATTCTCTGAGAAAGAAGTAAATAGGAGGCGGAAATTCGCAAGGTTTAACAAATTATGTTATCGATGTCTATCTACACAACACATACAAAGTAACTGCCAAAACAGTAGCAGCTGTCAAGTAAAGGACTGCTCTTCACCTACTACTCATCACTCCTTACTTCATATAGARYGTAAAGACAATTCTAGTTGGACAGGATGCACAACAACTGGAATTAACAGTCATGCRACATCAGCTACTTCGAGTAGAAAATTTGTAATGCTTAAAGTTGTACCTATGCGAGTTGTCACAAARGATGGTAACACTGTCACAACGTATGGACTATTGGACTCTGCTGCTGTGACTACAATGATCAACTCAAAGCTTGCAAGGAAACTCAAACTTGAAGGAACTCCTGAGAGAATAAACATCAATACAGTCGTTAAAAGCAACCATGAGTGTATTCTACCAAACGTCAACTTCGAGATTACCCCAACTACWAAGAAAGGACCTTGYTTTAAAGTACATCAAGCACTCGTAGTTGAAACCTTAAACATACCTGAACAGTATTGCCCAAACAATCTGAAATTGTCGTCATGGTCTCATCTTGAAGACCTGGACATCCCGGATGTGAATGTTGACTTAAATGAAGTGTCAATTCTAGTTGGACAGGATGTACCACAAGCACATATTGTACTTGAATATTGTTGGGGAGACRATCCCTCAMACCAGCCATATGGAATGAAAACACCGTTTGCGTGGTGTGTAGCTGGACCAACGTGCAATAAAGATGTCGACAACAAACCAGTTGCCTTAACTGTTTTCGGATGTTTTGAAAAGAACCTTGAAAGTCCTGAAGTGACATTAAATCAACAAGTTGAGAAGTTCTGGAGTTTGGAGAATCACGGGTTTGGAGATTCCAATCTGCAAACAGATAGCATAGAAGACGCAAGAGCACTACATATGTTGAAGGAAACAACACAGTCTACTGATGCTGGATACAAGGTTGGTCTGTTGTGGAAACGTGACCAYCCTAGCCTACCCAATAACAAGAAGCTTGCTGAAAGACGACTTGAACAACTTAAAAGGCGCTTTCGACGTGATGAAGACTTTTCCGAAAAGTACCAGCGTGTAATAAATGACTACTTGGAAAAGGGTTATGCCAGAAAATTGTCRGATAGTGAAGCCGAAAGGACAAGTGACGTCACGTGGTACCTTCCACATCATGGTGTAGTGAACCCCAACAAGTCAAAAATCAGAGTTGTGTACGACGCAGCAGCTGAGTACAGAGGAAYATCTTTAAATAAAGAACTGTTGCAAGGACCGCAACTTAATAACACTCTTCTTGGAGTCCTTATTCGTTTCAGAAAGGAAAGAGTCGCCTTAATCTCAGACATAGAGAGCATKTTCCACCGTGTACATTGCGCTGAAGAAGACACCGACGCATTACGCTTTCTATGGTGGAGTGAAGGTTTCGACAAACCCCCCAGCGAACATAAAATGATGGTTCACTTGTTCGGCAAAAGTGACTCCCCATGCATTGCAGCATGGGCCTTGAAGAAAACTGCCAAAGATCATGAACATGAATTTGGTAAAGAAGTTTCACAAGTCGTTGAAAGAAACTTTTATGTTGACGATTGCCTCGTGTCGGTGACAACACCAGATGAAGCAATTGAACTTTCAAAGAATCTGACTGAATTGTTAAAGAAAGGAAACTTTAGATTAACCAAGTTTGCCTCAAACGACAAGGCAGTGCTATCAGCTATTCCAGCTGAAGAAAGAACAGTTAAAAACCTTGATCTAGATGAATTTCCTATAGAGAGGGCTCTTGGAGTCCAATGGAACATTGAAACGGACACTCTAGGAGTCAAGCAATCTGTAACGCAAGGAGAAGTCAACCAAGACAAGAGGARAGAATGTCTTTCTGTCCTAAGCTCAACATTTGATCCATTTGGCATGATAGCTCCGGTACTACTCTCAGCCAAAAGAGTTATTCARAGAACCTGGCAACTGAAACTAACATGGGGACGATCCTCTTCCTGACGATCTCCTTGATGGTTTGCAAAATTGGAAGAAAGACTTGGCCATCCTAAATCAAGTGAAGATACCAAGGTACTATTTTGAAAGCGGTTGCCACGATGCATTGAGCCTACAACTTCACCATTTCAGTGATGCRTCCGAAATTGGCTATGGRACTGTCACATATTTAAGGAAGGAATCTGCAAATGGMAGAGTTGAATGTGCATTYGTTATGTCCAAGTCTCGMACAACGCCACTCCAATACGTTTCAATGCSAAGACTGGAGTTACAAGCTGCAACCATAGCTGTGAGAGTTAACAATCTTATCCTGAAGGAAATTGACTTATCCATCACAGATACCTTCTTTTGGACGGATTCTAAGCTGACCTTGCAATATRTCTACAACGAGTGCAGAAGGTTCAAGACMTACGTTGCAAAYCGTGTTGCTGAAATYCGTGACTCGACTGAACCGCGAATGTGGAGACACTGCCCAGGARAGCTAAACCCCGCTGATGACGCGTCGCGTGGACTAACRCCTACAGAGATTCTCAACAAGAAGAGATGGCTTCATGGCCCCTCATTTCTGTTGCAACCTGAAAGTGAGTGGCCAAGYGAAGATGCTGGAGAGCTTCCCAATGATGAAGTASAAATCAAGAACGAGAAGCCCATATTTACTGTTACAGCTCCCACAAACCKAAAGGCACTACTCACACGCTACTCATCTTGGTCGACATTATTGCGTAAGATAGCCTGGTTGCTCAAATTCAAGAAATACTTACAGTATCGCCACGTTGGAAAACAATTCAGCAGTGATGACAAGAAAATCTCCACAGATGACTTAGAACTTGCTACAGTAGCCGTAGTGAAAGCTGTACAGCAACAAGCATATACAGAAGAGATTAGCGACTTAGAGAACAGTAAGATGGTAAAGTTATCCAGCAAGCTTGTCAAACTTCACCCAGTACTAATGGAAGGTCTGATGATAGTTGGAGGCCGGATAGTTGAAGCTGCTATTCCCTTTCAGTCTAAGTGTCCCATGATATTGCCTCCTGATCACCATGTTACACATCTACTTATAGAACATTACCACCAGAAACTTGCCCATGCTGGTCAAGATCACATCCTAGCTCAACTACGAGAGAAGTTTTGGATACCAAAGGGAARATCAGTGGTCCGCAAAGTGGTACGTGCGTGCTTAGCATGTAAGAGGTACAACGCCGTAAGAATGGAGCAGATGATGGYATCTCTACCTACCTTCCGTATGACTGCGTTTGAGCCATGTTTCACACACACGGGTGTGGATTATTTTGGCCCACTCAACGTAAAAAGGGGAAGATCCCAAGTAAAGAGATTGGGAGCTATATTCACGTGCTTGAACTCCAGGGCGGTTCACCTTGAATTGGCCAGTTCTTTGGAAACTGACTGTTTCATCAATCTTCTTAGACGGTTCATTAATAGAAGAGGACCCCCAAAGTATATCTACAGCGATAACGGCACCAATTTTGTCGGAGCCGAAAGGGAGCTAAAGACAGCCATATAGAATTGGAACCAAGCGCAAATTGACAAGGAACTTCTACAGAAAGGGATACAATGGGTATTCCAGCCTCCAAAGGCTTCACATGCAAGTGGGGTATGGGAACGGCTAATCCGAAGTACCCGCAAGGCTTTGAAAGCTAGCTATACTCAAAGAAAGCTTAGTAGATGAAGAAGTAGCAACAACAGTACTCACCAAAGTGGAAGCCATACTCAACTCAAGACCCCTGTGCGCAGCATCTGATGATCCGAAGGATTGTGAACCTTTGACGCCTAATCATCTGCTGTTACAAAGACCTATGAAAACATTACCACCTGGATTGTTCGTCAAGGACCATATCTACTCTCGCAAGAAGTGGAAACAAGTCCAAATACTGTCAAATCATTTCTGGACCCGCTGGTTACATGAATATCTTCCTGCCTTGCAGGAAAGACAGAAGTGGCACCGCCCAAGACACAATGCTCAGATTGGCGATCTTGTGCTCCTAGTAGATGAGTCATCACCTCGCAGAAAGTGGCCTTTGGGACGCATCGTCAGTACAAGTACCGGTCGGGACGGGTTAGTCAGAACTGTTGAAGTKAGGACGCAGACATCCACGCTTAAGAGACCAATCCAGAAATTATGTCTATTGGAAGAAGCATCCACGATGAAAGACAGCGAACAAGCTGCACGCTAAGAAGTCCATATAGACAGTCATCTGTTGTTGAGTTAATAAATTGAACTTTGAACATTTTGATTGAACATTAAGTAATCTTTCGCTTAGCCTTGTATTGTATGCTCCACTTTGTATCGCATGGGGTAGGGTGTAGCGGCTAATTCAAGATTATGTAAATTTTCAAGTATCATGTGACATTATGTAAATCATGTAAATTTGTCTAGGCGGCAAAGATGTTACCAGAGAACACATTTGTAAGAGTTATGTTAGTTTTCAATGGAAAATAAACTCATTTTCTTTGGATCGTCAACACAAGCAACCTAGTGCCAACATACATAGTGATCTATTTTGTAACTTTTATCAAAATTGCAGTTTGTGATACTGACTTGAACTGTAACAATCGTATTAAAAAGTTGCACCTAACTAATATAAATGCCAATTTAGATCATAAATGGAATTATTTTTCGTTAAATAAAAAGGAATAACAAAAAACATTGTACTATGTAAACTTTAAAAATTTAAAAAAATTCAAAAATCACAAGAAAATTCATAAATCACATTTAATCTAAAT